CTTCCTTCATTTCCTAGAATCTCAGGTATTATGTACATTTAGAGATGATCAAAGTATGATTTCCCAAATCACATGGTTTATTGCCATACAAAAATAGATTTTTTCTTAGGTTAATGATGCCTAAAGAAAGGTAGAATAATATGACCAAATCTCATAGGGAATATACCTGATAGACAAAGTACATTAGTCATATAGTGAGTGAGTTCTGAAATTATTAAGTCTAGTTGCTCAGTTAGGATGAAAGCAGACCTCTGTGGAAAGTAAAGTCTAATTAAAGTTTGAGGCTAGATGGTGCCATAGCAGTAAAATGTAATGGCAAGGCTGACAGTTTGGCTCTGAAGACCTCCCTGAGTACACCAGGCATGTACATGCCCATGATCTGGGCCGGATGAGAATGAGGTGGATCATGGCATCAAGACCCTATCAGGGTGACTAGCAGTTAGCATAATGGCTATGTTGCTGAATTCCCATGTAGTCGACCACAGTTCAAGTCTTGGACCCGGTGGCTTAAACTCACGCCGGGTGCATGTGTGTGCGTGCCCAAGATCCCGAGAGGAAAATGGAGGAGAAGGGATTGCGGCGTGGCCATCCCCCTTGGGGGGTGATTTCTCACTTTCTGTCTCTCTGTCTCTCTCTGTCTTTCTGATGAACACACATGCCCTATAGCAAAAAACCCTCCTCCCCAAAATAAAGACCCTATCAGGGGTGCTATATCTCTGTCTCTGAACAAACTTTAGAAAAAAGCTTGTAGTATACCTTTTACGTGAGAAGTTTTCAGGAGAGATGCCATCTAATACAGCAGAGACTCATGAGAACAATTAAGGTCCCTTGATGCAAGAGGGCAGTGCTGGTGTTGGTGGGCAAGTCTTCAAAGCACAAAAGGTTAAAAGGGGGTGGCCCTGTAGAAGCCTGAGCTGCTGTTCTCTGAGAGGGAGCTGACAGAGTGTTGCCCAGTCTCAGTCCGAGCTCTCAAAGTGTCTTTTAATTTCAGATGTGCATGTATTTTGGAGTCCAGTGATTGTGGTTGGTGGCTCACAGGCAATCTGATAAGAAGTCACGTTTTCTAGGGAAGGGGGCTATTTACTCCAAGGTCTTGTTACAGAAAACATTACCCATGTAGTAAACTGCAAGTGCTTACAATCATTTCAAAGCTATGTAACATCAGAAGTGTTGAAATGGTCTGCATATATGTTTTTAGTCACCTCCCATACAGAAAGCTTCTCCTGAGTTATTTCAAGAAGGTGGATATGGGTGGTGCTTGCCTAGGACTTAAGGTTCTCAAGATCATTAGTCAAAGAGATTCATGAAGAAAGGCTCTCTTAAGGCCTTGGAGTTTATCTGAAAGAGGACAGATAATAGGCTTTCTGGATGTGGAGTCCATGTTAAAGGACTTACCACAGGAAGGGCTTTGACACCAGGCAATCCCAATGCCACTTGGTTTACAGATCTTTCTGTCCAACATCCTACAACCCATATAACAAGACAATGAGAACTCTGTTATGTTGAGCCTAATAGAGGTGAGATTTCCCAAAGTTGGAGTCCTGGGACACCATTCATGTGGCATCCTCCAGGAAAAAATAAAAAAGAGTGTTAAGAGGTCAAAGAAGTTTCAATAGCACCCCACCCATCCCTTAGGAATGTGATAAAGTCTCAGAATCATATTGTTAAAAAAATACATTCAGGAGCCAGCAGGTAGTGTGGAGGTTAAGGCAACTTGATTCCACATGACTGATTGAGCAGTTCCAGTCCCGGACCTGGCAGCTTGAATATTACACCAGGTACATGTGCGTGCATACCCAAAATCCTGAGAGGAAAATGTGGAAGAAGGGATTGTGGTGTGGTCATCCCCCATAGGGGTAATTTCTCACCCTCTCTTTCTTTGTCTCTCTGGTGAGCACATGTAACCTATAATAAAAAAAATAAATAAATAAAAAAGGGGAGACCAGCAGTTAATGTAATGGCTATGTCGCTGGACTCCCACGTAGTCGACCGTGGTTTGTGTCCCACCCCTGGAGGCTTAAAACTCACGCCAGGCACGTGTGCATGTGTGCCCAAGATCCCAGGAGGAGAATGGAGGAGAAGGGATTGCCGTGTGGCCATCCCCCTGGGGGGTGATTTCTTGCTTTCTGTCTCTCTGTCTCTCTCTGTCTGTCTGGCGAGCGCATGCACCCTATAGCAAAAACTTCTCCAAAAAAAAATAATAATTAGTGGTCAAAATTCGTTATTTCTCAAACTGATTCGACTTTTTAAAAAGCATGAAACTAATATTATCTCACAAAACTTGAAATTCATGGAATAGACTTTAGGAAACTTTGCCCTAAGAGCATATATGGCTCTTCTGAATAAAAAAAAAAAAATACACACACACACACACACACACACACACACACACACACACACACACACACATATATATACATATACACATGTTGAAGATGGCCATTACTTTATAACTCTTTGAAAATTACTGATGTAAATATGAATTAAATATGAGGTAGAAAAAGAAAAGGTGTGGATGGTCTGGACACCCACTTTCTGCATTTCCAGAGGAGCATGAGCTAAAGAGGGCACAAAGTTGGCTCTTCTAAGCCTCAGCTTCCTTCTGCAGTAATTACTCAGCCCTGAATGGCAAAGCTACCTGGGGACAGGCTTTGAGTCCTGGTAAGGCTCCTCCTCCATAGGACTGACCATGAGCATATGGGGTCCCTTGTGAAGCTGTCCACTTGGGTGCAGGGAGTTGCAGCTGTGTGCAGCTGTCTCTGGCTCATGACTTCAGAGGGAGAAGCAGAGGTAAATAAGAGGGTGGTAAAGAAATCAGAGAGAGAAAGAAGATGCTCATGGCCAACTGGGACAGCTCAATGTTAGGACAGTATGGCTTCTGGAAAGGAGCAGGAAGGGAGGCACAACAGCCTCAGAGCTGATGGCATTATTAAAAGAACCCCACAACAGGGACTAGCAGTTAGTGTAGTGGTTAAGGTGCTGGACTCCCACATGGCTGGCTGATGGTGATTTGAATCTCAGACCTGGTGGCTTTAAACTTATACCATGCATGTGTGCGAGCAGGCCCAAAATCCCAAGAGAAGAATAGGGAGAAGGGATTGCAGCACGGCCATCCCGCCTGGGGGTTGATTTCTCTCTGTGTCTCTGATGAGTGCGTGTGCCCTATAGCAAAAATCTCTCTAAAACAAAAAAGAAAGGAAAAGAAAAAAGAAGAGCCCCACTACAACAACAACGAGAGCAATAACAAAACAGTAATGGCAGCTTATGCCTCATTCATTTGTCCAGAGAATATTTACTGAGTCTCTACTAGGTGCCAGGCACAAGCCACACACCCCGCATAGAGGTGGGCCAGGTCTCTGACCTCGCAGCATTTATAGTCCATTGTGGAATCAAGTGAGTTTACAAACACATAATCTCACACCATGATCATGGCAACATTACTGAGAGAGCTTACCAGGTGACAAGGAGTGCGCTCTTTACCTGCATTCCCTCATTTCATCCTCACAACCAATTTACGTGGTTAGTGATTCTATTATCCCATTTTAAAGATGAAGAAATGGAGAGTCAGAGAGATGAAATCCCATGTCTTCAAATATAAAGACAACATATGACTGAAAATGGAGAGGTGCAAATCCAGAGGTATAAACTGACTTATTTTTCTTAATTTTATGATTTTTTATTTCCATTCCATCATTGTACATCTCTGCAGCACACAATATTAAACCACCTTTCTTTAGTGCTTGGAGTGGGGGCTAACTTCTGACATGAAGGTAAGGAGGGAAGAGTGTGCCTGTGGAGGTGGGAAGGGTGATGGTTTGGGCAGTGCCAAGAGTCAAGCAGCCACACACAGAAAGCCAGGTCCAGCTTTAGGAATCTAAGGGAGTGAGGGTGAGGCTTGTGAAATGAATTGTGTCCAGGATGTTTTCCGTCTCTTCTCCCTCTCTCCCCTCAGGGTCAAGGACCTGCTTTCTGTACCTCCCTAGATAGTTTCCCTCTGAGCTGAGGGCTAACAAGAGAGTTTTTTTTGCCAGGGCATTTGCATTCCATGGGAGATGTCTGGAGACCTCACACATGTTGTGAGCTACAAGAAGTTTGGGTGAGAGCTGAGGTCTGGAAGTAGGAGTGAGCAAGGCATTTTGGACATGGAGGAGAGGTCCATGTGTATCCGGGAAAATGGAAAGAACACTGGAAGAAGTTTGGACATGACCTTACATGCCAACCTGAGGCTCGTGTCTATATTGTGGCCTAGAGAGCCACATGGCTTAGGTTGAGGTGCCCTGACAGAGGAGCACTGGTGTGATCTCAACTGGAGGCCTTGCAGGTAAAAGAAGCAGGTTTACATGGAAGGACTCTGGGCTGCCTATAGGTAAGTCCCACTGGCCTCTCCTCTGAGAGGCTCTAGCCTGACCTACCTGCCTGGAGCTGCTTCCTTGCCATTCTGTGCAGCTACTTGTCTGCCCTGCAGAGAACTCCTTCCTGTAGGCTTTGTGCAACATCATGGGAAAAGAGGGACACAGGGAAGAATCTTGAGTTTCCAGAGAACCATATCTGGTAGTATCTGAATTGCAGGGAATGACTGACAACTCTCTGAAAATCAGGGTGGCATCAACAACTGGATCCTCCTGGTGTGAAGTATACCCAGTCCCTCCAGCCTAGCAGGACTCACCACTGACTGCACATAGGCATCACCTAGGGAGCTTTGAAAAATACTGAGGCCTGGGGCCCCACCTCCAGAGGCCTGATTTCATTGATCTGAGGTTGGGCCTGAGCTGTGGGATTAAAAAAAAAAAAA